ATGACAAATATTTTGACAATCAGTACTATTTTTTTAAAAAAGTGTCAGTAATTAATTCCTTTCATTCTTGAATAAATGCATTATTGTTATTAGTATGAAAAGACAGATGAAGTTTTAGGAGCTTTGAAAATGGTCTAAGAGAATAGTACTTAGACAATCATCAGTTACTAATTTGTTTTAAAAGGAAAAGCCTTAAGGATTTTTTTTTGAGTTTCAATAAAGCAAAAAGTATACACATTTAAGTAACAGAATCACCTTTCCACTCTTCAATGGTGTGTTCTCTTTCATCCAATTGTTTGTCATATATCTGAGGTGGGGGCTGCAGAATAAAAACAAACAATAAACCTTCTGTAATAACCTAAAAAAAATGACTAAACTCTTACAGTGCACGAGAATATCTCACTACTCATTGATTTTGCTGGCGATCAGAATCTCATATAAATTGTGGAGTAATCACAGTGGTGCAGAAGTTAAAATTTCCCCACAAACTTACAAACGATTCATTTATATGCCAATGTTTGCTGCTACCAAATAAGGCAGCAGGATACAAATCCTGAGAGCTCACTTCCCAAAACCTTCTGATTCAGAAGTCAAGTGTGAGCAGTTAATATCATGTCTTTAAAAAGCAAACAAGACACTTGATTACAAGGCCCCGGGAGCTGCTACTTCCTCCATTCACTTGCCCTGAAACAGAACCCTACTAAAACTGCCCTAGACCAGTAAGATTTTCTTCCACTTTTAGACCCTCCTGAAGAAGAGCCTTTAATATCTCTAAACAGACCGCAGTACTAATCCCCAGCATAAAGGAATATTTAGACTTCATCAGCTTTTTATTTTTCGTGAAGCATCATAAAACATCTTTATACAACACCGTGTGCCTTATATTTAAATGACTGAAGATATTTTGCGCCCTCAGGCAGAGGCAGCTGCCAGTTGTCTAGAGAGGTAGGTCACCATGAACCCGAGTGGCCCCTGAGATGACCCTCTGTGGGAGAACCGATGAGACAGGACCTAGTCTACGTTACTAGCATTACTCTTGCTCTGAGGAATTTGAAGGTGGAAAAGGAGGAATTTTCACAAATAGAGGTGCCTTGCAGGAAGGAGGGTCTCAGATACATTCCCTGACCTCTGCTTCCTGATGTTTGGACCTGGGACATCTACCATGGTGATCAAGAGTAACTTCGACTCAGGTCAAGTGACGTGGAAAGAAAAAAAATCTCGAAAAAGTGAAAAGGTAGAGAGAGAAGGAGCTGAGGACTCACACCAACACTGGATTCAGTGCCAAGAAGAGCTACGAAATGTCTGGTGCCAGCACACAGGGACCCCAGAATCCACCCTGTCCAACACTCGCAAAGCAGCACTTTTTATGAGAAACTAACAGTTACTCAATAAAGTGACTCAGGTCTATGAGGACATGCATCCCTCAGAAATGGCTGTCATAGGAAGACTTTGGACCAGATCTTCAGAGACAGTTCTGGCTTCTGATGGAGGTTTTCTGGACCACGAGCAGCACCCTAGTACCACAGTGGCCCTTCTTTATTGCATGGAGGATCTCTGGCAGCCTGAATCATGACAGACATGAATATTCATCTTAGCCCTCACATTGCTGGGGCAGCCCTCATACACTACAGAAGTAGCTGGATATGAAAATAGAAGACTGACCAGTTGTGGTGGGGCAACATAATAATGAATTACTGAGAAATAGCTACTGATAAGGCCAGACATTCTTTTAAAATCTGTGATTTCTACTGGGGAAGAAGGCTTCACTTCACACCAGCTACCGTGACTCAGATGTGGCCGGCTGAGTAGCCTTTACTGAAAGAACTAAACAGAACAAGACCCCGATCTACCCCACGACACTAGTGAGGCCCCAGACACACTGACTATGTAAAGTTAAGAGGACTGGGATGGTCAGGCACTGCCCCTGGGACCTGACTGAGGGAGGACCTTCTACCCTAAACTGTAAAGAAATCCCCAGTTACAGGAATGTTATGATTACTGAGTGAATGAGTAAAACAAAGTTTGAAAATTTGTGAAACTATTAAGCTAACGCAAAGCCAAACCTTGGTTACGTAAAGACACTTCACCAAGTGGCAGGTTTGGGGCTTTGCCTCTTCCTGAGCATGCGTAAAGCTGTGCTGAGGTCCCCCTGCAGTGAGCCTTGTCCAGGCCCCCTCTGCAGGACACAGTGTGCACAAGCTCTCAGAGCCCCTCCCCGCCCTCCCAGCGCTCTGTGCATTGTTGGTGCCACTGTTTTCTTCTAACAACAGACGCAGCTCAGGAGCCTGTGTGGCTGACGTCTCCATGCAGTGAACTTTTCCATTCAAGTTTCAAAATTGAACACGGCTCAGGAGTATAGTTCCTGCCAAAGTTCCTAAATGGTATTTTCTCTTTGCAACAAAACTATTTGGAGAGAGGTCTTCCTTGGAGCCTGAGCATACAGCTGTTGCTGTATGAAGCACGAAGTACGTAGACCCCAACCACAAACCGCAAAAAAAGAAAGCAAAGTACTGACTCCAAGACTTTTTCTTTCAGTAAACCAGGAGGGCTGCTTTAAATACACTGGCATTATAGTTATGGTTGAAAGGGCTACTTGTTCAGAGTTTCTTTGGGGGCTTTTTTTAAAGAGAGGATTCAATCACCTGCAGTGGAAGGGTGCTTCACATAAATATGTCTTCTACATAGCAACATAAAGTAGTAATTGGCCAATAATCCAAAGAGAGTAATTCTACATTCAAACACATACATGTATACGTGCTCAGGCAGCCACTGTCACCATGAGATGGTCCATGACACTCCCTGCCTTCCCCTCTGCTAAAGAGGAGCCAGTGTTCTATTGCTCTCTGGTTCCCCTTCTCCAACTTATTAAACAGGAAGGATTCTGTCTTGCTAGGTAACAATCTAAATAAAAAAGAGATGAGCAGTGGATAAAATAAGAAGGACTCCAGAGAGTATTTTAGGAGAGTTTAGCAGATAAGAACAATTTGAGATGTGAGAAAATTAAGGATGAGAAGAAATTAAGAATAATATATAAAATTATTAGGACTTGTGACTTGCATGCTTTTGAATATTTTTCAAGAGACTGAAGATCCTCTTTCTACTATTTTTGAAAATTTGGACTCTACTTCCTTGATTGAAATTCTTGTAGAAGTTCCTGGAGATTGTAAAAACAAATGCTTTGTCTTTGTATTATTTTATACTGATTACATATTATGTATACATGTACAAATTGTTTCAATTAAATGAGATAAACACATGGCCAAATGAAAGTCACTATGAGATAGTAAATATTAGGATTAATTTATTCATTTTTTAAATTCATTCAATCAGTAACGGTTTGGGGCACCTAGTGTTTGTCAGGCTATATTCGAACTAGAGATTTCAAAACTGAATAATGTGACTACTGACCTCTAGGAGCTCACAATTTAGTGGGGTAAGACCTATGCAAAACAGATAATAAACAATATGATAAATGAAAGAAATATGTATGTGGTATATGGGGCCAGAGCGAAGAAACCCTAACAAAACTGTAGCAAACACCTTTTGCTTCTTGGAGTAGATGACATCTGTTCTAGAGCAAAAGATGCCTTGGATGTTGTCAAGATAAAAGGAGAAGGAGAAAAAGA